TATATATATATATATATATATATATGGGCGTTGTGTGTTTAGCAATGTGTGTTCAGACAGGAAACGGATATTTGTCCATTGTAATTATCCGTGTTGTGATATCGATTATGAGACTATCGTGTGTGCTCGGCTATCGACGGTAGAATTTAAGTAATTCGTTTTTAATACGTGATCGAATCGTTTATAATTAGAAAAACTTTGAATCGTTGTAACGTCCAAGATGATTCTTTGTTAACGGATGAGAGTTAGAGGCGTGGAACTCTTTTGAAACGCATTTCGATGTAGTTTGATACGGCTCTAGGTTTCCAATTCCATTCACCTTAAATCCGACGAAATCCTATTAAAATTAGGAAAACTTTGAAACACCGGTAACTTCGAAGAGTAATACGGTAATTTTCGCTCGACGAATGAACGATCGTTAGAAGCGCGGAATCGTTCCTTTTGAAACGGTTTTTTGTTTATCTCGATACGACTTCCGGTTCTCGAGATATCATCATATAAAATATAATTCTATAATATAATTTCTAATCATTTTTAAATCCGATTAAATTGTATTAAAATTAGGAAAATTTTGAATTTTTGTAACTTTGAAAATAATAAGTTTTGGTCAACGAGTGAAGGATCGTTAGAAGCACTGAACTTTGATCTTTAAAACGTTTTTTCGTTTATCTCGATACGACTTCCAGTTCTCGAGATATCATCATATAAAAGATAATTTCGAATTATTTACCTTAAATCCGATTAAATTGTATTAAAATTAGGAAAATTTTGAATTTTTGTAACTTTGAAAATAATAAGTTTTGGTCAACGAATGAAGGATCGTTAGAAGCATTGAATTTTGATCTTTAAAACGTTTATCTCGACTTCCGGTTCTCGATATATCATCGTGTAAAAAATAATTTCTAATTACTCATTTTAAATTCGATTAAATCGTATTAAAATTAGGAAAATTTTGAATTTTTGTAACTTTGAAAATAATAAATTTTGGTCAACGAGTGAAGGATCGTTGGAAGCACTGAACCTTGATCTTTAAAACGTTTTTTCGTTTATCTCGATACGACTTCCGGTTCTCGAGATATCATCGTGTAAAGAGAAGAATAATTTTTGATCGTTTTATGATCTTTGTCCTTGTTATTTATTCTCGCTCACTCCTCCAGACGTGGATTTTGGGAAAAAATAGGATTTCAGGGGAAGAATGGAGGTCACTGAATCGATTCACGATCTCTACATTGCATCTCAAAATTCTTATATCTCGACAACGAAATGAGATATCGGAATGAAACAAGAAGCAGCTTCGATGCTTTTTTAATTTTTTTTAATTCTGATTTTTACATAACCACAATAATTTCTGAACATCGATAATTCAATATTCGAACGCGTTCTCAAAAATCGGCCAAGTCCACGAACAACAATTAATCCCATCCATTCACTAGCAACAGATGTTCGAACAACTCTTCCCAAACTCGTTAATATTCACCCGATAAAAATTCATTTTTCAAGCGAAAAGAAAAGTTTCGGCCAAAGTTAACGTCCTCCTCCTCCTCCTCCTCCTCCTCCTGTAATGAAAAGAAAGACAAGTCGAAACTTTTTTTATGGCGAATTTTAACTAGAACGACGTCAACTCCTCCTCGACAGAAAGAGAGAGAGAGAGAAAGAGAGAAGGGGATCGAGTATTGGATTACGATGGAATGATTGCGCTCTTAATTAAAAGGAGAGGGGGAAGTGTTGGAACAAGCCCGGCCGCGTTCCAACCCCGAAAGGATTAACCCGCGTTATAGTCTTATTGTCAAGGTATCGTAAAACAAGGTGTGCGCGTTACCTTGGCGTTAATTCACCGGTTAAAGCAGTCGTTGAAATATTCATGGTGTTTGCGCGTGTCATTCGTTCAACGCCATTTCGTGATTCGTGCGTGGATGGGTTGGTCTCCACGCGTGGATACCTAATTTCGTAGCAAGTCTCTCTCTCTCTCTCTCTCTCGGCGTTAATTCTTGACTCGACGCAAGCCGAGTGTTATTGCCTTAATACCCTTATTTATATTCATCTCCTGAGAGGAGAGGTGACAGGGGCGGAGTTAACCCTTTTCGCAAAAAGCTCGGGGAGCTTTCGACAGATTAGAACGGAGCGACGGAGGGAGGATGACTGTGGTTTTTAACGTTTATTCGCGGGTAAGATAGGTGCTTTGGTCGAATTTTAAACTTGTTCGAGAAGGAAAAATTATTGTATTTGTCAATTTTTTTTATCTATTTTTGATTTCCCGTAATTCGAATCTCGAGTCGAGGGATCCGTTTAGAAATTCGATACACCCTATTTCCCTTGAAATTTACATATAAATCTTTATCTTCCCATTTACTAACTTCAAAGTTATTCGACTTCGAAGTAAAGTCGCGTATTGGAGAAGAATCAAGAGATCGAGGCGAGGGGAAAGGAAATTTAAAAATAAAAACTTTTGGATTCGTTGGCGTTCTCTAATAGGCGAAACGATTCGTGAAATTCCTACCGCCAACACTCGATTTCTCCCCTTTTCGGCGAAAAATAAAACGCGTGGAATCCTCGCGTTCGACACGGTGTATTTCATTAGCCGTAGCAATTAACCGCATCACGGCGGGAGCAAGTGAAAGGAAGGAGGAAAAAAGGAAAGAAAGAAGGAAAAAAAAGAGGAGAAAAGAGAGAGAAGAAGTTGGCGTTAAAAGCGTAAAACTGCGAAAGGTTGTCAAGCGCGAAGTTGCAGGTATCGGATGGAGGGGAAGGGGTAAACGGTTCAGCCCAGTTGGCTAACGCGGCGAGAGAAATCGATGGTTAATGGACAAAGTTGACACCGTTACAACATCCCGAAACTGCTTCGGGAAACTACCGACATTCGTTTCACTTAGGCTGCTTTGCTCGCTTCTCCTCCCTCTGTTTCATCCCCCTGCTTCTCCCTCTCCCTCTCCCTCTCTCTCTCTCTCTCTTCCTTTCTCTCTATCTGTATTATTCGATACACCTCTGGTGCCAGCTCGTTCGTTCGAGCTGGTCGACTTTCGCCGGTTACGCTGTTTTATGGGACAGAATGAACTGGCGTTCTTGCGGATTTTTTTCCATGTTTATTCGATGGTTGTTGACCGATGAAAATCTCGAGATACGTGTGTAATGGATTGTCGAGGTTGAAGGAATCGTGGAATTTGGAATTGTGGGAGTAACTTTTTTTGTCGTTGATATTATTGATGTTCGAATTTCCTGTTGATGATTTTACGGAATATCGATGAAATTTTCGGGATATCAA